ATGCCATCCTGCTGACGGCCACACACCAAGGATAGACAGCTGTCAAGCTGAATGATTTTCCGTAATTTAATATTGTGGACGCCCGGTGCCTGCCCAAAACTAAGAGGAAAAGAAGGTCTTGCAATCCAGCTAGATTTGTCACGTTGTTTTCCTTTTGCTAGGTTTTTGAATAGGAGTTATCGGTTCGAAAATTCCCCAATTGAAGCTCAGTCTATGTGCACCCTAATTGATTTTTTTAATAAAAAAGACAAAAAGAATCTGGTTTTTTTTAATCAAAAATGGTATAGTATACTCACGTGTAAAGTTTTGCGAAGAAATGGCTTCCATGACAATCTGTGCGAAAAATAACAAAACCGGATCTATACAAAAGTTGCTATTCAAGATTTTTGAAGAAACTGCAATTTCGTTTTTCCACGAAAGAACATCGAAGTCATTTCTTCGCTGAACATCATAGGTAAATGTCACCCGCAAAAACAAAACAAAACACCATAGGTAAATATTCGCACCGTCCACGATTTTCTGCCTGACTCGTGGGGCCAGCAGGTCGGTGTCATCTGATCTGAGTATATACAGCCTCCGCTCACATTGCTCCTCCCCAGTCACCAGCCACCAGTCCCCACTCCCCACTCCCCCACTCGCCTCTACACCCGCGAAAACCCTCATCGCCGGGCGAGATGAAGGGCGGCGACGTCGAGGCGGGTGGCACCGGCACCGCGGCGCTGAAGGCCGCGCTGTACCCCGGGACGACGGAGAGCCCCGAGCTGCGCTGGGAGCTCATCCGGAAGACCTACGTCGTCCTCTTCCTGCAGCTTCTCCTCACCGCCGTCGTTGCGGTCGTCGTGTACAAGGTCCGCCACTTCATCGAATCCTCCTACGACGGCCTCGGGCTCTACATCTTCCTCTTCCTCTTCCCCATCACCGGTGAGACCTCAAACCATTTCTAATTTGTGATCCCATTGCCGGGAGGGTTTTCTCTTTTTGGTAAAAGAAACAGAGCATGTATGTACAGAGGCTATACAAAAATTAAATTACAACATACAACAAGTGAGTTTTAAGTGCCACAAAACAAATACCATGATGCACAATCATCCAATTTGGGAGATCTGAATTTGAATAAGATTTTCTTTTTGCTCTGTGAACTAGAGACTGGAGCTCTTCCTTGAATGTACGCCTGCAAGCATAAAGACTTGAGTGATTCCACAGAAATTAAAGGTCGCTCCGGGTATTCCGACGAATTTATAGGCGATACTGCTACTTGTATGCGTGCGATTTCATTATATCCTTCCCGCAAAAAGAAAATATTTAATTATGTCTGGTTTTGAGGGCCTTGGTGGGAGGACAGGACTAGCTTTCCCTTTGAGTTCTCGTCCCGGTGAAGCTATAGATTACAACTCCTGATTTTTACAGGAACTCTTAATTTTGCTTAACTACTGTAGAATTTGACGTGGTTGCTTCGTGAATTGCAGCTGGGGGTATAATCTGTTACTAAAATGCTTGTTAAACTTTTTGTATGCAGTGCTCTGCCCGTTGTACATCTACCGCAAGAAGCACCCAGTCAACCTGCTGCTGCTTGGCGTCTTCACACTTCACAGTGGCCATCACCTTCTCTGTGGGCTTCATGCGTTCCTTTTATAGTGGTAAATGTCTTCCCACCATGTATTTCTGCTCCTGCTGCCAGCTCGTAGCTTGTTCTTGAGTCACTCAATCATATCATCAGAATATGATAGCTCCTGCATCATCAGATTCTTGAGTCACATCTGCCAGCTCCTAGCCTGTTCACCATGTGCCATTAATGCCCCTCTCATTGTGTTAATGCATTACATATACTTCCTCCATTCCTAAATATTTGTCTTTTTGGAGATTTCAAATGGACAACACAAACGGATGTATATAGACATATTTTAGAGTGTAGATTCACTCATTTTGCTCCGTATGTAGTCACTTGTTGAAATCTCTAGAAAGACAAATATTTAGGAACGGAGGGAGTACATGGCTAGTAGAAATTTTCCTACTATTACCATGTGCAGCACTATTACCGAAAAAGGGTTTCCCCCCGCTTTGTATACAAAGCCAACCGAAACATCCAACGATAGGTGCTGGGGCGGAAGCAGCACAGTCACGCCCAAAAGAAAAGAAAGAGAAAATACAAGAGAAACAAACGCCGACAACGGCGGATCGACAAAGAAACGAAGAAGCCTCGTGGCCGCTGCACCCACCGGGGAACTCCCACCAGACTCCGAGCCACCGAAGCACCGGTACCAATCAACACCTCCAAGAAGGGACGCGATGAAGACGACGCTGCTGCCAAGGGTTTCCCCCGATACACGGTGAGGAGAGAGGAAGGGTAGCTCCGACGCCCTCCAGGAAGGTCTGGCGGCACCCACAAGCGCCACTGCGTCGATGTCGGCCAAGCCAACAGAGATTTCTCCCGATCCCAACCTCCAACTCAGGCACTCCGAAGCTCGCCGCCAAACAGACCCTCACCCTGTGCCACCCGGACACGAAGCGTTCAACGTTGTCTCACCACGGCACCGTGAAGCATGGTCGGCACGATGAAGAAGAGGAGCCGGGACAAGGCAGCAGCACCGTCGGCACGCGGGAGGGCCCCACCTCCACCGCCGAAGACGGTAGCTGACCGGACGCAATGGCAGGAACACACCAGGCCCGTGGCCGCACAGGCCCGGCCGGGAAAGCAGGCCCGTAAAGTTCCCGCCTTCGCGCTGCAGCCGGCACGCCGTCGGCTCCGCCGCCCCTGTCCAAGCCGCTCCCCTTCCTCCCCACGACGGAGAGGAACCACCGCAGCCGCCAGCAGCCCGAAGCCGGACCCCAGCCGCCGCCCACGCCGCCCGCGGCCCCCGCCGCCTGCCAGGCGGAACCGGCCGCCGCGGCGAGGCGCGCTCCACCGCGCAG